CTCTGGAAGATATATGGATACAGATATACATAAACTAGCTGGTGGCTTTGGAGGATGTTAGTGAAGTGGTTTTCTCTGCACTCCATCCTCATGCTTGGGGGACAGTTGAGTAAAAGACTACTACAGACAGTCACCACTTAATAATAGGGAAATATTCTGAGAAATGAATCATTAGACAATTTTGTTGTTGTGCAAATGTCATTGAATGTATTTACACAAACCTAGGTTTTATAGCCTACTCCACACCTAGGCTATATGGCATACCACTATCCTATATGTGGTCCATCATTGAGTGAAATATCATTTTGTGGAGCATGACTGTATTTGTGATAATCTGCTAAAATCCTACTGCAGAGAAGCCATACCTGTTAGGAATGCTTTTGACTGCAACTGACAGAAAATTCAACTAATTTAGCTTAACAAATAGTTACTTGTTAGTAGCTCAAACAAAGTATTGTTTTTCTTTCTCTAACATAGCAAGAGGTTTGGCCCGGCTGGAGTGGCTCAGTGGTTGAGCATTGATCTATGAACCAGGAGGTCACAGTTTGATTCCCGGTCAGAGCACATGCCTGGGTTGCAGGCTCATCCCCAGTAGGGGGCATGCAGGGGGCAGCCAACCAATGATTCTCATCATTGATGTTTCTATCTCTCTCTCTCCTTCTCCCTTCCTCTCTGAAATCAATAAAAATATATTTTTAAAAATACCATAGCAAGAGGTTTGAAGGTATGCAGTTCAGGGTGTTGCATCAGTTCTGTGATGTTGTAAAAGACTCAGGCCCCTTCTCCTTTTCTGTATTGGCTTTTTGCCACATGGTCACAACAGAGCTACTGCAACCAGTAGATGTCATATTTTCTTTCAAGAAAGGAAGAAAGATAAAGGGCTGGTATACATGATGGCTATTCCTTTTATCACAAAAACATGCACTTTCCCAGAAGGTTCTCACACCCTGTCTGACTTCGGCTTCCAACTATTTCCATCTTATTAGCTGCCCCTAGCAGCAAGGGAGACTAGGTGCTGGAGTATTTAGCTTTTCTGGCCTCTATAGTGAAAGTGGGTAAGAAAGAAAAAGTAGGGAATGGATGTTGTGTTCACCAACAGTGTCTGCCACAGACAAATTTTGTCTGATATGGCTCTTGCCATTCACAGCAATTGGTGGTGGTAGTACCTGGATTTGTCATATGAAGATAAGGAATTACCTGTTGTGAATGATCTTACACAACAAATATTTTATCTGACCATTGATGATGCAATAGTCACTCTAATGAAGTTACCTAATTACATTATTTATATCCCAGTTGTAAGAGGGCAAAAAAAAATTGTCCTGTTGCTGATTTATTTTCAGTTTTGATCTGCTAATAAGCATCAATGATCTCATCAATTCCCTCACTTTGTCTCACCTCAAACACTAAAATCCAGTCAAATACCAAATCACCTACTGAAATAAAAGTAAAATAATAAACGTATTTGAGACCTTAAGAGTCCCCTTTTAATTTGATAATATATGAAGGGGGCAGCATATTATTGTTTTAAACCCTCACCCAAGGATATGTTTCTTTACTGATTTAGAGAGAGGAAGGGAGAGAGAGAGAGAGAGAGAGAGAGAGAGAGAGAACATCTATCTATTGCCTCCTACACGCACCCTGACCAGGAATCAAACCTACAACTCGGGTGTATGCCCTGACCAGTAATCAAACCGGCCACCTTTCTGTGTATGGGATGACACTCCAACCAACTGAGCTACACCGGCCAGAGCAGCATATTCTTATTTTATTGAATATGGTGACTTTTGGCCTGCTTCCTTCATATAACAAAAAACAGCCAACTTGCACTGATCCAAGAATGACCATCATATCAAGGCTCCTCTGGTAGTGATGGTCCTGGAAGACAAAGAATTCTTAAATATTTCCTCATGCGTTTTCTTATTTCTACTTTTTTCAGGCCAACCCTTTAAACTGGATCCCAAAATGACTCACAAGAAGTTGAAGATCTCCAATGATGGATTGCAGATGGAGAAGGATGAAAGCTCTCTGAAGAAGAGCCATACTCCAGAGAGGTTTAGTGGCACAGGGTGCTATGGTGCAGCAGGAAATATATTCATTGACAGTGGCTGCCACTATTGGGAGGTAGTCATGGCTTCCTCAACATGGTGAGTGGATCTCACTATTCTTTTCTCTTCTCTACCCTGTTGTTAGGTTCCTGGAGATCCAGTTCTATAACATAGACATAATACCAGTAAGTCAAGGTTAAAAGACGTGATGAAAACCACTCCTAGAAAAATGTGCCAGCTTTAAAAAATAAATCATGGAAAATATACTGAGCTAGGAGTTGGAAACTACTACAGCACTCTAATTGCTAACTTATTAAAGTTCTAGTGGTATCAACATTATGGATCTAAATATAAACTATTTAAGGAGGAGACATGTATTCTATTTCTTATATATTCTGTATGGTATCTAGCATAACACAGATCATTACTAAATATTTCTCTCTCCTTTCCACTGTTTCACAGGTATGCAATTGGCATTGCCTACAAATCAGCTCCCAAGAATGAATGGATTGGCAAGAATGCCTCCTCATGGGTTTTCTCTCGATGCAATAGTAACTTCGTTGTGAGACATAACAACAAGGAAATGCTGGTGGATGTGCCCCCACAGTTGAAGCGCCTGGGTGTCCTTCTGGATTATGACAACAATATGCTGTCTTTCTATGATCCAGCTAACTCTCTGCATCTTCATACTTTTGATGTGACCTTTATTCTTCCAGTTTGTCCAACATTCACAATCTGGAACAAATCCCTAATGATCCTGTCTGGCTTGCCTGCCCCAGATTTTATTGATTACCCTGAGCGTCAGGAATGCAACTGCAGGCCTCAAGAATCCCCTTATGTTTCTGGGATGAAAGCTTGCCATTAAATTTCAAGAAAGCATATAATTCTCTGGCTCTCCACTTCAGCAGTTCTTCCCCTCCTAAACTTCAGTTAGTGTCCAATATACAAGATACCAAATAAAGTTCATTTGAAGCATCCAAAATAACTAGATATTATAGCTTTAATTTTTGTGCATTAAAGCTCATATTTGAAGTAATGTTTTGAGTTTCTTAGAACAAATTATCTGAGTAGTCTGGGTTCAAGCCATTGGAGAACAAATTTAGAAAATACCTCTCTTGTCATTAGAGAATTAAAAATTCCCAGTGATTTATAAGTATAAATATATTGAAATGAATTAGGGTAATTCTAGGTAAATAATGTAGAATGATGCTCTGAACAAGGGACTAGCCAGCTGGAAATAGGGGTGTCAGCTTTTCTAGTGTTGGCCAATTTGGCCCAGTAGAATTTTAAAGTGTTAAATGGTTACATATTATATATAGCTTACAATAAAAATCTATAATCAAGGATTTATTATGAAGAAAACATATATATGTATATATAATTATAAAATGAATAAATATGTATCATTTATTCATTTTCTAGATTTTATATACATAATCAACTTAATTTGTTCATTTGGGTGAAAAATATACTGGAAGGGGAAATAAATTATACAGTTCATTTCTGTCCCCTATAGGGAACAACAAAATCAGTCAACATTAATCCCCTCCCTCCATTCATCCCTTTTTTCTTCCCTACTGTCACACACACATTCACATGCAATAATGACATAGATGGTAGGAAGAGCTCTAGGTTGGATTAGGAGACATAGAGGGATAATACTGCATATGAGATACTATTGCTAGATAGAAAATTGATCCAGGTAGAAGTGTTACATGTAGCACAGTTTCATTGATGCTACCTAATAGAGGAGGTTTGCCTGAATTGTTAAAAATTCTATCACAGAAATAAGTTTTCTTTTATTCTCAAGTACATACAGTCACTAAAATTATGCAAAAAAAATAATGGAGGTTCTTTAAGAACCTGCTTTGTTTACTTAATCAGAATGGAGTGTTACAGATACAACTATTTGCATATAAATGTACTTGAATTTTCTTAAGAATGCCTGAGGGGGTGTGAATGCTTGAGAACAGTTTGTTTTCTTAAACAGGTTAAGTAATCATTCCTTTTTGCAATCTTGTTTACACTCTTTATCTGCTTAGCTAACCCTTCATTGCAAATGCACTTATAAACTTCATCCCAGGCCTTATTACTATCATGGTCAATTTCACTGCTGGAATGGTGATGTCAGAACCAGAGCTGTCTCCTTTCCAGGAGCTGAGTCTGCTTCAAGGAGTCTACTTTTCGGGAGTTGTAAAAACATTACTGTTGTACCAAACTGTAGCTGTAACAAGCTCCCAAATTGGAGCCTTGAGTGCCCCAAATTCTCCCCTCTTTCTTTCCACCACTTTGGTGGATATTCATTTATTAATTCAGTCAATGAACTACTTACTAGATGCCAGGTACCACACTGCCGCTGAAATACTGATAAAACCTAATCCCTGCTGTCAAATGGCTTACTGTTTTGTAGGAGGGACACCGTATCTATATACATCCCCTGAAGGACACTTTTGTATTGTTTGTTCAACTAACATGGAAAGCAAGATGGAGGCAGATGCAAATGGCTGGCTCAGACTTACATATCTAGTGGCAAAGTGAGCTTTTTGGTTTAAAAAACCATATGTACTTACTGCTAATCAGTAAATGAACAACCTCAGTAAGATTCTGGGAAATAGCTTGCTCTAATGGGGAGCTCATAGCCTTTGTACTAAAATAACCCTAGTTTCTCTGCAATTAATTAGTGGTATGGCCAAGAGCAACAATTTCATTTCTCTGAGACTCTGTTTCCTCTTTTGTAAAATACCTACCTAACAAGGCTTTTGCAAAGATTTAAAAAGATAGCACATGTTGCCCTGGCCAAGTGGCCCAGAGTGTCGTCCTTACATCAAAAGGTTGCAGGTTCGATTCCCAGGCAGACAACATACCTACGTTTCAGGTTCAATCCCCAGTCAGGGCATGTACTGGAGGCAACCTATCAATGTTTCTCTCTCACATCAACAATTCTCTCTCTTCCTCTCTTTCTCTCTTCTTTCCTCTCTAAAATCAATAAACATATCCTCAGGTGACAATTTTAAAAAAGCACATGCAAACTGCTTAGCACAGCCCCTGGTGTTTAGTTAAGTGTATAACGAATATTAAGCTTCTTTCCACTGCCTCGCCCAGCCCCTGCCCCAGTAGAGTGTAGTGGTGCTTAAAAATGTATGCCTTTCATTTCTAAGTTACTCTGGTCTCTCCTTTATGGCCTATCCCCCAATTCTTAAACAAAGCAAGTGATTTCTTCCCTTAATAAAAACTTTCACTGCCTTTTCTTCCATAGCATTCAGTAGAAGGTCCCAATTACTGAGGGTTTGGCTTTTTAAGTCTCTGTGTGTTTTCCTAGCTTCATCTTTTGTCACTTTCCCCCTCACACTGGTTACCCTAGCCAAGCTTAACTATTTACACAAGTTGTTCTTTGAGCCTGGAACAGAGACATTATAACAATTTTGATGCCCACAGGAAGTAAACGGTAGGAATTGTTCTTAAGGGAATAGAATGAAACTGCTAAAAGTGCAAAACACTCCACCTCCACCTCAGTCCAATTTCCTGTACCGTGTCTTGGGTCTCCCACGCCATTCATTTTTTGTGCCCTTTGGATTTTAGTGTCCTGAGACAAAGCTTAAACTTCCCCATCTTACTTTTGATCCTAGCCTGGACTACCTTTCACCCCTCTTAATCAGATTAACTCTCACCCTCTAGACTGGGTTATGGTCTCCTCTTCAGAGCTCCCATGGCACCCTGAGCATCCTTATGGCCTCGGTGATAATCATATTAGATAGCAATGTTTTTCAGAGTGTGGGCCTTATATCATTTGTTAGAATCACTTTTGGTGTTTGATAAAATAATTGATTCATAGATCCCAGCCCTGATCTACTTAATTAGAATATCTGGACACATGGGTGGAATTTTACATTTTTAACAAGCTTTCCAGGTAATTCTGATGCACACACAAATTTAATGTATAACAATCAACTTCTGTATTAGACTATGAATACCTTGAGGGCAGGGTCTATGTCTTTTGTTTTTGTTGTATTTTTCACACCTGAGATAGTGTGTGGAACAGAGTAGTTGCCTAATGTTTATTGAACAAACGAACAAATGAATGAATGAATGAATGAATGATCAACGTTGTACTCTGATATCCATATTGGTGTTTGTTGTTTCCTGGGCGGAAACGCTTGGGCTTTTCCATCTGGGCTATACTGATAATATTTTGCAGATGTCCCACGACTTATATGCATAAATGAGTACTAGTATTGTCCTCCTCAAAAGCTCTTTGGAAGTTGGCTTGGGGAATTGTCTGGAGCATGTGACACCATTCTTTTCAATCACTTTTCAATATTTTTCAAATTTGTTCTTTGAAAGTAGATTTAAATTTTGGTTACAACCAAAAATCAGAGCTAAGCCTACTGAATAAAGTAGGAAATGAAATCGGGCTTGGGATAAGCAATTAAATTGCTGAGCCAAATAATGAAATGATCATTGCTTTCCAAGAGACAACATGGTGACAAAGTACTCAGTGGGGGTGTGGTGAGTCCCAGATACTTACTTCAGTAAACTTAAGACTTTCATAGGATACTGGTAATGCCAGGGACCTTAAAAGACATCATTGACCACCTTTAGCTGAACCCAGTTGAACAAAGGAAATAGGACCTGTTTAACATCAAGGAAGGTAACTCCGTAAGTTTTCGTTGCTCTTGTTCTACTCAGTTTATTCCCCCACAATCCTTTCTGCTAGCAAATTGTTCTATCTGTCTGCAATTTATGCTTATTTCCACTTTTGTACTGTCTTATTGAAGAAAGCACAAAAATAATAAAATATAAAGTTAAACCTGTTTCGAGTATATAAAAGAAATTTTAATGCCACATTGGAGTTCTGGCTACTTGTAAGTAAGAGTAACTGCATCTGTTTTTATCATGTATTTCCATTGTGTAACTTTGGATGCAGTGACATTCAGATTGCAGCAAAATCATTTACATATTCTTTTCAGCTGAAATACACTAGGTGAATTTTCTAAGCTTCCATGGTTTACATATTTATACATGGACTACCTGGATGGAATAATCCATGGATGGACTTTTTGATAAGCTCCAATATTTGATATTCTTTCCTCGACAGAATGGAGAATGTGATGCTGACAGACAAGAACCACTCCCACAATTGTTTCAATTCCTAAAGCCAATTGCAGCTTTGGATCCATTGGGCTGTATTTGGCTGTGTATTATAGGTTGACTGTCATCAGGTCAGGTAAAACTGCTTTTTATGGTCTAATCTGCCATTCATACATATGCTGTGTTGTTGTTGGCTAAAATATTTATTAGACTATTGTTGGAATATTTTTAATGTTTTTTATTGATTTTAGAGAGAGAGGAAGGGAAAGGGAGAGAGAGAGATGGAAACATCAAAACTGCTTTTTATGGTCTAATCTGCCATTCATACATATGCTGTGTTGTTGTTGGCTAAAATATTTATTAGACTATTGTTGGAATATTTTTAATGTTTTTTATTGATTTTAGAGAGAGAGGAAGGGAAAGGGAGAGAGAGAGAGATGGAAACATCGATGCATCAACATTGATCAGCTGCCTCCTGAACGTCCCCAGCTGGGAATCGAGCTCACAGCCCCGGCATGTGCCTTGAGAGGGAATGGAACTAGCAACCTCTTGGTGCATGGATCAACGCTCAACCATGGAGCCACACCAGCCGGACATATTGTTAGAATATTTTTAATCAAATATCTTACCCATGGCTTGTTTGTACTGGGAGCTCTGGACCAATAGCTTCTCTCCTAGTATAGAAATCTGAGCATCTGTAGATTACACAGCCTCATCCCTTAAAACATCCCAGCCCATCCAAAATACTATATTATGAATTAAATAAATATATATGTATTAATGAGTTCTTGATTGTCTCTTACTGGAATTTAAATTGGGGGGAGATTAAAAGACAGCTATGAGTTACTGGAATTGTCTAAATGATTTGGGGGAAATAGCTGGAGATTTGGGCAGAGAGGATGTATGGCATATGGAGATTGAGATCCAATCATGAGGACTAGTTTCAGAAGCAGTAAACAGTAAAAAAGACTAAGGAAATTAAGGTATAAGGCTCCAGAAAACATGGCACAGTTCAGGGGTTGGGGCAGAAGTTCGGAATTAAGGAAGACCAAAGAAAACCTCAGTGCTAGAATGTATTGATTAAGGTTGGGCTAGGGCCAGAAGTGAGCTGACTTGCTGTTCAATTGCTGTCCTGTAGGAGGCGCCTGGGAGGGTTACACTATGCCTCAAATTGGGTTTAGGCATATGTGAATCAGAGTTGTGGTTGCACTGAGACTAAAGGGAGCATGTAGCCTGAAGTGAAGCAGGCCAGTCAAGGGTGGCAGCTGGAGAAGTAACTTGAAACAGGTTGTCAGATCAAGAGCCCATAGGAACTATAGCCGAAAAGAAAGAAGATTAAAATACAAAAGAGTTTAGAATTTGGAATATTGGGGTTAATGGTCTAACTGGAGAGCAACGTGGGCTCTCCAAATATGGGGCTATTACCCACAGCTAAGATTTTGTATAATTTGGGGGGTATAATGTTTGGAAAGGCTGACTCCATTTAATGTGCCAGGCCAGAGTACATTGGGTCCTTTGTGTTCCCCCACATAGGAATAGGGTTGGTCCTAAAGTCTCAGAGAAGCTGAGTCTGTAGGTGGGAGAGGGGTGGTCTGTTATAAAGGTTAGGAGTAACAGAGACCAAGTAGGTTGTTACATGGATATTGCAAATGTGTATAGCATAATAGCTAATGAGGATGTTCCTCCTCCACTGAATTCCCAGGGGTGAAGGATCAAGGTGGTTTTCCTATAACTGTTGGGCACAGTATACAAATTGAAGTTGTGGCTGGTCTAGCCTGGTCATTCAAGAGGCATTCATTGATCACTCTTTATGTTCCCAGTACTCCTCTTATTTCTGTGGAGTCATATTAAGATGAAAGTATTCCTAATATTTATAGTGAGGTACCTAATTTTATAATTCTTCCCAAGTAGTTTTTGTTCTATGAACTTGAGTTATTAGTGGTAGCTGAAAATGGAAGCCTTTACTGTAAATGCAGAGATGAGAATAGGAAGCTCTTACCAGATTACACATTGGGGATTCTTAGTAAATGCTGGTTGAATAAAATTAGAACCTCATAAGGGGAACAACAAATGGGTCACCTTTTACATTGTGAGGTTTGTCTTAGGTGAACTCCACTCCACCACTTCTATGATCCCCCTCAGACACATATTCCTGGTCCAGCATTCTCACAACTGCTACTTGGTAAGAGGCTATTGTTCTTTAAGGCCAGTCAGCTCCAAAGGAAACAACTAGAAGAATTAATAAATTAGCTATTAATAATGTACAGCCAGAGTGTAAGTCCCAGACAATAGAATTCGGGCTTTCTCTTTGATGAACAGTGACAGGAAAAAGCCATTATGATCTACATATCTTTTTTTAAGATACAATTTTAAATTTTTATCTTTCAATTGACATTCAAAATGTATTTATATTCTTTTCAAGTGTACAGCATAGTGGTTAGACAATTGTCTACATATACTTTTGTCCAGCTCAATGCTCTCAGTGATGGGGGAGAGTGCTTTAATTACCAGAAATGTGAAATTCTCAGCAAGCAGCTGTTAAGCACACAAGGCAAAGCAAGAATCCAAGGTCTGATTGACTCATCAGTAAATATATAATAAATCACTTTTAGGTTCAAACAGTTTATTATTTACACAGTGAAAGAAAAAGTAGTCAATGGTTCCTGCTCCTAGTGGTCTTTGTCCAAACACCAAAAAGGACGACACTTAAACAAAAGGGGCCAGAGGACTGCAATGGTAGTTGTGGGATATTCTGTTGCTAAGAAGCCAATTCTGTATTGAACTAAATGGCTTCATATTCTGTAGCTCTATTCTGAGGGATGAATTAGAATTTTAGCTTATCAGATCCCAGCAGGTAGGAAGCTATGAAAAATCATTTCTTGACAGTCTCCCAGGGCAGAGGGGGTTAGGAGGGGAGTGAGAGATGGCCTTGAAGCATCTTCTGACCAGCCTCCAAACCTCTTGTGCTCTGGGAGGATCACAGGTATTCTGCCAAGACTTAGATTGGCTGTAATCAAATCTTTGCCTGTGGAGTTTATGTGGATAGAGCAAGGCTGCCAAGGTACCATGGGGGAAGCCATTCTACATTAGTTAACTGAAGGCCCAGCTACCTTCCCTGGGAATTAGTAAAAGGGGGTGAAGTAAGGTTTATTGAGGAACTTCCCTTCTCCATACCCTCTGCTGACCTTCTTATTCCTCTCCCTTCATTTTTCTAAGTCTCTTTGGGGTTGGGATAGGGTGGTGCAGGGATTAAAGGAGTAAGGGAACACACAATGAATTCAGGGTTTGCAAGATCCAGTACAAACAATGAATTCAGGGTTTGCAAGATCCAGTACAAAGGTCAGGGAATCCCAAAGCCCTCTAGTCCTTTGCTAGTTTGATTCTTAGTTTTTTAGCTATGAATTGAAATGTATGAATAATTTCTAAGGTCCCTTTTAGCTCTAACAGTATGATTTTCCATAAATGCAAGTTTATTGAATATAGTGGTAGGAGCCTAATCTGCATACCTACCCCCCAAATATTGGGACATCAGGGCAGATCATCAAAAACCCTATGATTAGAACAGAGAGGTGGATAACATTATTGTTAATCTAGGACCTCCATCCTAATCCCTTTGAGGGTGACTATGCTCCTCCATACACACTTCAGTTTACTTGGAACACTTATATTTGCCACCATTATTTTTGAGTTTTCCACTTCAGCCCTCTCCCCCATCCTGCTTTACTCACTAACTGCAAAAGATGCAAATACTGCTCTAGCTAGACATGTCTCAGTTTCAAATTTCAGGTCAGTTGTCTGACAGTCTTCAATGTGTCCATTTAGGAAATTACCAAAGACATTCCATTTTCCAAGGGTAGAGCAAGTCACTTTATATAGCAAACAACAGGGGCCTTTTGTGCCACCTTTCCCAATCATAGCCTTTCTTCCTCAAACCTCCACAAATATACCCTATCAGTGGTTCCCAAACTTATTTGGCCTACCGCCCCCTTTCCAGAAAAAATATTACTCAGCGCCCCCTGGAAATTAATTTTTTAAAAATTTTAATAGCAATTAAACAGAAAGATATATGTATTAATGTTTCTACCTTTTTCGTAAAATATAGTAAAGAAAGGTGTAAATTAGAAACATTGAAGTTTGAAATTATGAAACTATTTATTGAACTCAGAATAGAAAGGTAATACAAAAAAAGTTAAAACAAATGCACCTGTGGCCATCACCGCCCCCCTGGATCGCTGCAGCGCCCACCAGGGGGCGGTAGCGCCCACTTTGGGAATCACTGACCTACCTGGCAGAGGAGAGAGTCTTGGCATAGCCACTAGTCAGTTATTCAATCATTTATCTATCCATTTATTCAACAAGTAATTTATTGATAGCCTCTTTGTGCCAGGTGCTGGAGTTCAGTGATGAATGAAAAATACTCTCTGCCCTCATGAGACTCATAACCTAGAGGAGGAACAGATCATCAACAAATGAATACTTTTGTAATAATAGGAGCTACCAATGATAGTTTACACTCTCCCTGACACTATTCTAAGCATCTGAGATGTAGTAACTAATTTAATCCTCTAAGCAACCCTTTGAGGTAAAAATTATTGGCCCCATGAAGAATTAATTCCAAGCTCTGGCCCAGACCAGCAGATTCCGTGGTACCTGGTGAGCTGCTAGCCAAAGGTCTTGGCATGGCTGTCTTTGGTGTGGGATAAACAAGTTTAAGGCCAGCACCGAGGAAATGACCCAGCCCAATGACACCTAGTTTCAGTGTTGACCAGGCAGGATTCCCAGGACTATACTAAACAACCTCAAAACTGTCACCGCCAGGGTTTTCCGGCCCTCTTTTTTTCCTCGCCTTTCTCTCCCACCTCCCAATTCCTCCTCCCCCTTTCAGGACGACCCCTCCTTCGGAGCCGCCTCCTTTGTGAGTCGTTTCCAATTCCCCGCCCCAAAGAACTTGTATTTCCCTCTGAATCCCCCTCTTACCGGAAGCAGAGGAAGGGCAAACCGGCTTTGGGAACCTGGTGAGCTCTTTGTCCAACAAGCAAGAAGTCTTGCGCCCTCCCCATTTGGAGGGAAAGGAAATCGGTGGAGTTAGTTCTGGCCAAGCGACGTATATTCTGTGATGTGAGGAGGGAATTGGTTACTAGGAGGGACTTATCGCTGCCCGCGAAGCTGGGGGGCAGAGGAGGGCAAGGACCGCAGGGCCCAGAAGCCAGCTCTAAAGAAGGGAGAGGGGCGAGGGGGGAAGGAGAGGCTCCCAGGATGAGCGTGTGGAGGGTTGTATAGATGAACCTTTTGGGGATGTGCCTATGTGCGGAGAGACTGTGTGTGTGCGTGTGTTGTGTGTGTGTGTGTGTGTGTGTGTGTAGAGATTTACAGGTGTGTAGGGGGAGGGGAGAAGGGAAAGGAATGCTAATGTCACCGGACCAGCCAGGAGGTAGGAGGTTGCCTGTAGTGTGTGGGTTCTTGATTTCCTGCAGGAAAGATTCCACAATACGAGTCCAGATGATTTTGAGAGTACTTTATTAAAGTTGGGAACAGTGAAATGAAATCTTCGGATAGAAGAAGCAACAGGAGAGAGCTTAGGCGGGCTGCTTGGCTCTCTAGAAAAGTTAGAGAAAAGGCTTGGAGACAGGTTCAGAGGGTTAGCCAAGGAGCAGCTGCTGCTGCTCCGCTGGTTACAGGTCCCTGGGGACCCTTAGAGTTTAGAAGAAAGTTCACGTGGGAGAAAGAAACAGCATGGCCATGCTCCGGAAAGAGCCGCTGGCATCCTTTATCTTGAGGGCTTTTATTTATCTTTGGGGAGGGATGGGAGGTCCTAGAGGAGGTCTCAGGGGAGGGTTTCTGCAGAATATTCATCAGTTTTCAGGTGTGTTTTCAAATACTGTAATATGTTGGTGCACCAAAATGAGTGCATAGAGAGACCAGGGTCATTTTCTGGTCAGCTTTGTCTCTATCTTGGATTTGTTTGGTTCTAATTGGTTTTTGTTGTTGTTGTTGTTATTTATTTCCCTGACTTTATCCATCCTTGGATTTGGCTGGCACTAATTTCACTGATTGGGTCTCTGTTATCTCTCTCCCTGATCAGGGTGATTTAAGCTATTTACTCTCTGGTTAGGGAGGAGAGGCTAAACCATTTGCTCTCAAGTGTCTGTGGAAGATTTTGCAATTTACTAGCTGAATGTAAATTGCTTGACTTGTTTGGCCCTATTTGGCTAACCATCTGTCTCAGTTTCCCTTTTCTCAATTGTCAAAAATTCTCCTAACATCTAAGTATCCTGCCTCACTGACTTTTTATTTTTGAGGTGGCAGGGAGGGTGGACATGACCTGTTTGAAATACTGAGGAAAACTGTTGACCATCTCTTAAAAAAAGGAAAAAAGAAAGGGCAAATGGTTTGCTCATAAGCAGAGAGAGGTCCAGGGCCCACAATAGCCATCTGTGGACCCCAGATTACTGCTTAAAGTGGGGGAGAAAACCCAAATAGGCTACTTTGGTACTTCCCATGTATCGTTTGAGTCTGTGAGAGGAGAAAAGGAACAGGTGACTGAGCTGTTGCTTACTCTTTCTGTGAGCCTGTCCTGGGCTTGGTGTGGCTTCCAGGCTAGGTTTGATGCTCCTCAGGGACACGGTGCTCTCTGAGTGGGGGTATAAAATGGGATCACTCCCAGTGTAAGACCTCATGGCCTTCCCCATAAAGTTGAGTGCTGGACATTGCAACAAGGTCCTTTCTGGTGTGCCAGCCTGGTGACTTCACCAGCCTCAGATCTGCCCATTGGCTTCTTGCCAAGGTTGGAGCATAGGGATTTGTAGTGTCCTGGTCTGATCCCTACCACTACCACCTACTGCCCCCCCCCACACACAAGTGTCTCAACAGCCTGTGAGTAGTATGGGGAATATGATCTTCAGGTTGGAGTTTTGCTGGGTAAGTGACTCAAAGGAGACCAGCGGACTTGGGTTCTGATCTGATCCTTACCATTAACTAACTGTGTGACCAAAAGCAATTTCCCTGGTCTTCCTGTGCCTCCCTTTTGTCATTTATAAAATGGGATAGTAGCTCACAGGGTTGTTGTAAGTGTAAATATGATTATGATAAATTCTCAGTACATGGAAGCAATGAATACATGGCAATATATACAGTATGTATATGTCAAGAGAAGTTAAAGTAAAAATTTTATTCTGAAAGAATGTATTAAACTGCTGATTTCTTTCTGGTCTCTTCTAGGCATACCTAGCTGTGCTGTCCTCAGACAAAGCCCACTAAGTCCATCCTATAAAATCACACGCCTGAAGTAAGTTTGAATTTTTTACTATGTTTGGGTAGATGATTATTAGTCCACCAACAACTCTCTTTTGGATTGCTGATCTCCAAACCTTCAAACTTGCCTGCTTCCATCCTGTTCATTCTGCATGTTGCAGTCAGAGTTATCTTTCTCTCTGAGTGACAAAATAACCTACTGGTTCAGAGCATAGACCTTGGTGTCAGACATATCTCGTTCAAATCCCACCTCCACCCTGTTTTACCAATTTCTAGTTGTGTGACCTTGGACAAGTTACTTTGCCTTTTTAAGAATTCTTTTCCTTATCTGTAAAAGGGGATAATGGTGGTTTCTACCTCATATAGGTGTGAGAAGTTTGAGAGATAATGTATATATGGTGTCCCACAGTAACTGCTCAGTAAATGGTAGATTAAAAATGGTAAGAGCAGTAAGGCTGCTAACAAGAGACTGTTAAAATAATGTACTATAACATCTAGACTGGATAGGGAGTAAAGCAGTGAGAAGTCAAAGGAAGGGAGATCTTGATGAATGAAGAGTGAGTATTTGAGAGCCAAGAAGTAATAAGGATAGGAGGTTGTAGCCAGAGATTGGGATAGTGGAGTTCAGGGATTTTGAAGTGGAGCAGTTCCATGGTTATGGGGTCGTCTAGATTAGAACACTAATGGCATGTGGTCAGAGGTTGTAGAAGTAGGGGAGATCACAGGACAGTGAGGCTAGAATGTTGTGTGAGTCATCTATAGTCATCTAGGCTACTTATATGATGGCAGGGGTTGGAATGGAGAGAAAATGGAACTAGTGCCAAAGCCAAGGTCCACTCTGATTAACAGGGAGAAGTTATTTCTTTCACAAATATTTACTGAGCTCTTACTAGATATCAGGACATAGCAGGACAGACAACAGTCCTGTTCTCATGGAGCTTATAGTCTAGTAGGAGTGACAACAGATATGAATAATCCCATCTGTAAATAGAAAACAGAAAATTGTGGTAAGAACTATGAAGGAAAAATAAGGGTTCTGTAAGTGCTTATAACAGGAGGATCTGACCCTGTTTGGAATGTCAGGGAAGGCTTCCCTGAAGAAGTGATGAGAACTGAAAAATCAATTGGGATAGATGGAGATGGATGAGGGGTGGGTGGAGGAAGTGTTCTAGGTAGAGGAAATGAACAGCATGTGGAGAGACCTGAAGCTAGAACATGTATAAAGGACTTGAACTGAGAGGCATCTCCTATGACTAGAGCATATTAAGGAAGGGGAGAGTATTGTGAGCTGAGGCTGGATAGCAGGCCCCCTTAATTATTTTGGGCTTTATCCTAGGAAAAATGGAAGTACTCCTTTAAAGGGTTTTTTCCTTCCCCCCCACACCTCAGTTTTAGTGAGATATAATTAATATATAACATTGTATAAATTGAAGGCATACAGCATGATGATTTGATATCTGTATATATTGCAAATGATTAACACAATATTTTGTAAATAATGCATAACTGCTAATTATAAAAATAAGCAAACAACACAGAAATATATCAATTGTAAAAGCCCAGTTTGTATTTGTGTGTATGTTAGAATATATATGTATGTACACACACACATATATAGATACATACATTATTATATACATATACAACATAATTATTTTATTTTTTAAATATTTTTTATTGATTTCAGAGAGGAAGGGAGAGGGAGAGAGAGATAGAAACATCAATGATGAGAGAGAATCATTGATCAGCTGCCTCCTGCACGCCCCACTCTAGGGATTGAGCCAACAACACAGGCAATTGTTTTTTCACCTATAAGTTGGACATATAGTTTTCCCCTTTTAAATTGTTAATGCATTGACTTGCATTAATAAGTTTTTAAAAACTTTCTATTATGAAAACTTCCAAATATAAATGACAGTACAGAGTATAATAAACCTCCATGGAGCCATGACTCAGCATCAATAGCCATCAACATTTTGCCATACTGTTTCAGCTATCTTCCTCCCCTTTTTTGTGCTGGGGTATTTTAGGCTAAGCAAGAATGTCATATGATTTCATGCATAAAGATTTCAGTATGCATCACACAAAATTATACCAAAAAGGATAGCTCATGTAATCATAATGCCATTATCACACTAATGCCCAGCATGTACTCAGATTTTTTCCAGTTGTCTAAAAAATGTTATTAGCATCAGGGTTTGTTCTAATCAGGATCTAACCAAGGTCAACTCATTGTATGAAGTTATATCGCTTAAGTTACTTTAAGTTTTTAAAAAGATAAAACAGAACAATAACTCTTTCCTTTTATTTTCATGCCATTGGCTTGTTGAAGAAACCTGACATTTGTCCTGTAGACTTTCTCTCTCTCTCTTTTTTTTTCCTATTGCTTGGCCAACATTAAAGTTTTTCTTTTTGTTTTTGTTTTTTTGTTGTTTGTTTGTTTTTAGACTCTCTCTTACATTCTAGATTTGGCTGATAACTTCTTTTTTTTTTTTAATATATTTTATTGATTTTTTACAGAGAGGAAGGGAGAAAGATAGAGAGTCAGAAACACCGATGAGAGAGAAACATCGATCAGCTGCCTCCTGCACACCCCCCATTGGGGATGTGCCCGCAACCCAGGTACATGCCCCCGACCGGAATCGAACCTGGGACCCCTCAGTCCCCAGGCCAATGCTCTATCCACTGAGCCAAACCGGCCTCGGCTGATAACTTCTTTGAGGATCTGTTTTACCTGTCTCTATATTGCCTGTAGACTGGAAATTAGATCTAAATACGTGATTAGATTCAGGTTATTTATTATTATTTGGCAAGATAATTTCATAGTTGATACTATTTACTTCCTTTTACATGATGTCTGCTTGTCTCATTTTTAGTGATACTAAAAATGGATTGAAATGGTGATAGTTTGATCCCTTCATATTAAAGTTCTCTATCATTTTTTCACCTAATGAGTTTACCACCCACTTAATAACTGTTATCTGAATCAATTTTTCATTAGGGTTTCATAGTAATGATTTTCTGATTTTATCCTTCTTTCAGCATTTATTAGATAGCATACCTCTGTCCTTCATCTACTAGGGTTCTTTGGTATGCCTAAAATACAGTTCCTATAGGAAAGAGAGGATAAATGCTTAACTCTTTTTCTTGTCTTGTAATTGCCACCTTTTCAAGTAAGTGTTACCAGGAAACCCCCCCCCCGCCCCCCGTGGGCTCGGGCTGCCTGTTGCTGTATCTAATAATGAAGGCAGGGTTGAATCATATAAGGAATTTATTGAGAAGGCTAGCCAACCAAGAAGACAGGGTGCTTACAAACATTCAAATCCTGTCTTACAGCAAGGTACAGGGGACAGGATTATAAAGGGGAATGGACTAGGGTAAAGCTGAGAATGAAATGCAGCTACATGCAGCCCTGGAGGTCCCCAGACATCAGCTGTTATCCTTAGTCATCAGACAATGAGATGATGTTTTGACTCCTGGTGAGTTGGTCTGACCATGCGTATTGGTTCTGCTTGCTGGATTCACAGCTGAGTCACCTCCTCAGTCACTTCACACAGGCTTTGAAAAGGAAACTTAAGAAAAATGTAACCCCCTATTCACATAAGTATATGTGTTTTAAGATTTAAAATAATTTGATTATTTTTCAGATTAATTCAGGTACTCTATCAGATTATAAGTCCCTCTATCATTCTCCTCTCTGATTAGGTAGATTAGTTGATATCTATCAACCTTATACTATACTAAATTTTATTTTTAAATTCATTATATTGTTGTAGTGCCACTAATTTCACCCCTGCTATGTGGCGATTACCCCCTTTTAAGTCTGTTGAATTGACATGCACTAGAAAAGAGAGGCATACATTGAATACAGCAACAAGATATTAAACAAATTACAGTAATGAATAAAAAAATGAGGAAGGCTTCCTTTATACCAGCCCAGCTGGGTAGCCATGAAGTAAGAGTAGTAAATTCCTTTGTAAAAAAGCCTTCCCTTTTTACAGACTGAAAAAGAACCAAACAAATTCTGTTTTAGTTTACTTTAGATTTTTTTATCTAATTAGATTTATTATTCAGTATATCTATAATTTTCCTTTAAGATTTCTCTTTACAACCCTTCTATGACTTTCACAAACCTTCTTACAACTTTTACAAACATTCTTATAACTTTAACTCACTTTCTTTTTTTTCAAAATGCATCTCTATGCCTCATGCCTTCTATTACCAACACTATAACTTTTTTCTATTCCCTTCTTAAGTATTCCTATTCTAATATCCTTTCTTCCTGTTATATCCCTTTCTTTATATCCCTTCTCACCTTTTTTACTTCCTTAACTCTAATTCTTTTTTAACTTACACAGACCTCCTGCAGCTTACACAAACCCTCTGTAACTTGCCTAGTCCCTTTTAGTTTGTTTCTTCTTAACACATTCAGAAATATAACTACTTTCTAACTAGTTAACATTCTTAACTCTTAGAAACAATTGTTAGGTGACAAGGAAGCAGTTAACATTCCTCAGATTAGCAATACATTCACATTTTTAAAAGCTATATTTCAAAAAAAGTAAGACATATTAATTAACACATCTAAATCTATTCTCCAGCTTCTCTGTAATAAGAAGCTAAAAATAGGCAAACTCAGATTATGGTTTCCATCGAAATATAATTTTTCTCCCTAAGATTACCCTTATTTTTATCAAAGAGCCAAATCAAGACTAATATATTTACTGTATTCAGTTGAGTTCCAGTTTGGCCTAATTATTTGCATAAACACAACAGAAATAGTAATTGATTACATAGACTTTTTAAAAAATCTGATTTGCTGGAATCTCACAAGAAAGTTTCTTCTCAGGGCAAAGAAGCCAGGCCACACAGTTGCCATCAGGCTTTGCTTGCAATACCTATAGGTTTGGGTATATTCCTCAAGTTTCTGAGGTCCCTACAGGTATCTTGAGATTCCCTCTTGATATCTTTTAGGAAAGCAAACTTTGTTCTTTACCTGGAAAGATTGCCATGAACCATGTGACCAAGCAAGGT